TAAGTAGTATTAGCATTATTGACGGGGTTATTACCCTCAGTAATTAGTTTTAGGTATACACACACTGAGCGGGTTATTGCCCCCAGTGTTAGGTTAAGTTAGGTGTGACGGGGTTTATTGACCCAAATTAGGACACGTTGGGGTTTCGACCCAGAATTATAAAATTAAAGAAAGCAATACTCACCCCTGACACACCGCGCGATGTTCGGCATCAGAACGCCCGACAGAAAGGTCGACCGCGCCGCAGCCTCACATCGCGACCGGGCACCCTCGCCACGGAGCGACACCTCGCCTGAAAACACCTCTAAAGTAAGAAGGAGTATCGGCGACTGGGAACTGGGAAGAGTGGAAACAACGAAAGAAAGTTCCACTCGTATTCGCACTCCGGAAAAGACAAAAGGGCCAGTAAAAAGAATAGTCTTTACCAAAGATACAAAAGCGGTGCCCCGAAAAGACTCAACAGATCTCACAGACTCGACAAGTCCCCCAAAATATGCCACGAAGTTGGCTGAGGCAAGGGCTTGTGTGACAAAGGCCAAGGTAAATCTTGGTCTATCCAGAAATACAAAGACAGAGATAAAAGAGGCAGTGACGCAAGCGGTCGACAGGCTGTACCAAATAATAAAGGAATTAGAAAGCAAAGAGAAGAAAGCAGCAGAGGAAAATATGACAGAGGGTACAGAAAAGAGAAAGGAACAAACTAAGGAGTGTGCTGAATTAATGGATAAAATTGATAACCATGCAAAATTAATAGAGGAAAGTAGTGCGAAAATACAAAAATTACAGAACGCTCTGGAAAAATACAATGGAAGACAAGAACAACAGCAGCAGCCATACACCTACGCTAAAGCAGTGCTGCAAGAAAAGAAAAGTCATACACAACAGAAGTCGCTGCTCTCAGTAGTCATAACATCAAAGGACGAAATGGAAACAGGAGAAGAAGTGTTAGAAAGAATTAGGAAAGCAGTTAGAGCCAAAGAAGGCGGCATAGCGGTAGAGAACATTAGAAAAGCAAAGGACAGGAAGATTATAGTAGGATGCAGGACGGAAGAGGAAAGAAGGCTACTAAGGGAAAGATTAAAAAGCGCAGAAGAGCACCTGAACGTCCAGGAGATAAAAAACAAAGATCCTCTGATCATCCTGCTTAATGTCTTCAAGTATAATACAGATGAAGACATTATTACCGCACTAAGAAATCAAAATAAGGGAATGCTGAGTGAAGGAAAAGAAAAGGAGGAGAAAATAGAGATAGTATATAAAAAGAGAGCGAGAAACCCATTAACACAGCACATAGTGATGAGGGTCAACCCACAGATTTGGAAGAAAATGACTGAGGCAGGCAAGGTCCAAATCGACCTACAGAGAATCAGAGTCGAAGACCAGTCGCCTCTCGTCCAATGTTCCCACTGCTTGGGATATGGACATCCCAAACGGCTATGTAAGGAAACGGATGAAAAATGTAGCCACTGTGGGGGGCCCCACAAAAAGACGGAATGTGAAGAATGGAAGGCAGGCACAGAGCCACTATGCTGCAATTGTAAATCAGCAAAGTTGGATAAGGCAGACCACAACGCGTTCAGCCAGGAGTGCCCGGTGCGAGAGCGATGGGATCTGATAGCGAGATCCTCGATCTCATATTGCTAAAGGCGCCCCGGGCACTCAGGGCTGGACGGTTGGCAGAGCTCACCAATGTTGCGCTCTACAAACCGAACCAGGGACAGAAAGAGTGGTATTGGAGGGAGATGCCAACACCTGGAACGGCAGGCGGGGCGGTCGAAAACTAGAGAAGAGGGATAACATCAACTCGGACCACAAGGTGACCCTAGTTAATAAAGAAGTTAAAAAGTATCAAAGAGTAAATATTCAACGAACCATTGGAAAATTCGACACAAAAAAGAT